GCTTTTGCTGCCCTCCTTTGCGTTGTCTTCATCTCACTGTCCCGTAAGATTGACAGGTAGGTAGATGCAATTTTTTTAAAAAATATACATATACATAGCTATGAGTTTATACCATCAAACATATACAAACACCCTATGTATAAGCTAACTACCTACATATACACCGAATATACATTATATACATATATATATATATGTGATCTCTTATGTACTGGTGTGATCTCGAGATATATTTGAGAAAGGTATGGAACTGTGGATTGATAAAGATTTTGTTGTATACGTGAAAGAGAGAGAGAGAGAGAGAGAGAGAGAGAGAGAGAGAGAGAGAGAGCAACACAATCGAACAGCTTTTCTACTCTTTGTTGTGAACAGTGAAATTAATTTGATTGAAATATTAATTAGAAGCAGGAGCGAAAGTGTTGGTGCCTTGTGCATAAGCTCTAAATTTGATTATCTTAATTCAAATTGAATCAAACTGTTGTAGTTCCATAAATTTGCTTCAATTTTTATTTTGTTTGTGGTTTCAGTTTTAAATTTGTAAATTAAAAGTGCTAAGTTCACGGTTTAATTTTTGATTTTAATATAAAAATATTTGAAAACTAAACTTTTAATCAAATGTTCTATAATTTTGTAATGTTAGTAATTTATTTACTAAAATTATAAACTACGTAGAAATATATGTAAAAATTACAAAATAATAATTTTTAAGAACGACTTGTATGATATTTTCAAAGAAGTGAAAGAATATGTATTAAAGAAATGCACGAGACCAAGAGGGTAAGAATGCTCGATTATTTTTCAATTCATATCAAATAGACTAATGTGACCAAACCGAATTGAACCATGTACAGTTTAACTTAATTTCTGATTTAAAGATGGAAAATTAAAAATTTTGGTTGATTCAATGTAAATTGAGATTTAAAAAAATCTTAATAAATAGATTACTATTTAATATTTTTATTTTCTATTAACTTTATTAACTATAGATTGATGAACAATTATAATTTATGAATTTATTTTTTGTTTAGTTTTTATTGATTTCGTTAACTATTTTTTAGTTAAACATGATAATTTCAAAAAAAAAAATGGTTCAATTTATTTTAGTCTTTAGTCTACATATTTACCCTAATTCGGTATTTAGTATGATCATGTTGAGATCTAGATCTATAGATACTCTTGCAAGGGAGACCACAAGATGGTGCCAAAAGAAAAAAAAAAGCATCCAACACATAAGAAATAAGATAAGTTGAAAGTCCAAAAAGTAAAAAAATAATAATAATAAGAACAAAAGCAAGTATAATTTCATAACACTACCAAAGATGTAAAAACAATTGTAAGACCCTAATCTAGATTAAAGAAAAGCAAATTAGTCATTACTTAGCTGCAAAGAAGTAAAAGGACTGCTAATCATATGAGAGACTATCGTAAAAGAGACTAAAAAGGCATGAAAGATCAAACAAATATTAAAATCAATAAAATTCCATGAATATTAGAAACAACAAGGAATGGGGGAATCATGCACAATTTGATACTAATGAAAGTGGTGGACATGGACATTGATCATTACTAAATCACCTTAATAGAGAAAAAATGACTTGAGTGCTCCACCAAAATACATAGCCTCCTACAAGTGATGTGGTATTAAGCCTTCCCATTAAAAGTAGTGTAAAAGAAAGCCGCAAGAGAGTTAACACTACAAAATCAAAAGACAAAAAAAAAATGTACAACATTAGAAATCACTTATTTAGAGGAAAAATAACATGAGTGCTTAGCTAAAAGTAAAAATAAACTCACCAATTAGTGGCACTAAATAACTTAAGTAAAAAACATTT